CAGGGAGCCCGATGCGGGACTCGATCCCAGGACCCTGAGATCATGACCTGAGCCGAAGGCAGACGCTTAACCATCTGAGCCACCCAGGCGCCCGGAGAAAAGTACTTTTATTATCCTCATTTTACAATAAGAAAACTGAAAGTAAGAGAAATTAATTTCATTTTGGACTAAATTTTACTTTGAAACGAATGGCAGAACTTTTTCTACAGGCTTTGGCTTCAAGATTTGGGCTCTTAATCATCATAGATGAACGAACGGGTGGATGAGGAATGCTTTTCATTCCATGGCTGAAGAAGTGACCTGGGGGCGCCTGGGTGGCTCAGATGGTTAAGCGTCTGCCTTTAGCTCAGGTCATGATCCCAGGGTCCTGGAATCGAGTCCCGCATTGGGCTCCCTCCTCAGCAGGGAACCTGCTTCTCCCTCTCCTGCTCCCCCTGCTCCCCCTGCTCGTGCTTTCTCTCTCTGTCAAATTAATAAATAAAATCTAAGAAAAAAAACCCAAAAATAATAAAATAAATAAAATCTTTAAAAAGAAGTGATGTGGAACAGTCCATCATTTATATTACAAAGGCAACTATGATGTCAAATTATGGTAAATCCTAACTCACTAATGTTTCTAACTTTTAAATCACCTTTACTTCTCCCTCCCTCCCTTCCTTCCTTCTTCCTTCCTTTCCCATGGTCTCTCTCTCCAAAACTCTCAGGGAAAATGTTTGAACTCATATACTGAAGTGTAACCTAGTAAAGAACGGAGTGTTTTATAGGAAAGGGAAGTAACATTTTACTTGGTTCCCACTTCTTACCATTCATTTGCAAATTTACAAATACCAAGCACCTACTGTGTGCTAGGAACCTTTTTTTAAGCACTAAGTGGTAAGCAAAACAAAGTTCTGGTTCTCACGGAGATTACACTAGTGGCACTTTACATACACTGACTGGTTCAATTCCTCACAATAATCTTATGAGGTAACGATGACAACAATAATAGATAACTCTTAGCAATGCATATCTGTGCCAGGCACTGGGCTATGTGTTTTATTTGCATTAACTCAGGTATCACAACACCCGTATGTATGTTTTCCCCATTTTACAAATGAGGAAAACTGAGACACAACTGACTGACTCAAGGTTTGAACTCAAGCAAGTGTGGCTCTAACTCCTAGGATATTAACCATAAGGCTATATTGTTTCTCATGCATTTCTTTCTTAATCTCACAACTTTTAAGTGTTCAAGTTCTATCTCAGATCGTCTGACTCCCAAGCTCAGGGGTTTGCGAGTGAGAATGCCTGGGAATTTTTGCAACACTTTCTCTTCCGACGAAATCAAACTAATTTCCACTTAATTTTCAGATTTGTGATGTGAACCCTCCTGCACCGTAAATTCCCCGGCAAGGAGAAAGATAGGGCCTCAGCCGGGGTCATCTTACACTGGCTGGGGTACCCAGCAGATGGCGCTATCTTAGTAGCCGCCAGCTGGCTGTCCGGTCCCCAGGGCTCACCGCCTCCGCCGAAAGCTTCCCGGCCCTCTCTCACTCCCTTCTCTCTCCTCCTCCCCACGGAGCCCGGGCCCACGTGACCCCAAGGCGGCCAATGGGCGAGCAGAGAGGGCGAGCTGGTCCCTGTGGCCGCCATTAAAGCGAAGGGAAAACCCGTGAATTCGGATTAAAAGGGGAAAAACACCGCCCGCTGGGCCCACAAAATGGGGGTGACTACGGCGTCCGGGCGGTGAGGCCGCAGTAGAGCAGACGTTAGGCCGGCTTGGCCCAGGGACGACACGAAGACACAGCCAGAGAATGGTCTGAGCCCGCAGACGCCGCCACCACCTCCGCCACTGAGGAGATTCTGGGCTTAAGGACATCGCCGCTGCCGGGCCGGGGGCCTGGGCTTCCCTCCCGGTTCTTGCCCTTCCTGCCCCTCTACGGGCGCCTCCCCGCCCGGGAGAACCCTCCAGGGCTTGGGCTCTGCCTTTTCGGACTCCATTTTAATTATTTATTGTGTTAATTTATTATTTTTTCTTGTGGAAGGGGCACATATCTCCTCTGTCCCCCAGAGAGGGACGAGCGTCCGCGGGCTCCGCGGCGGCCGCAGTCCGGCCCGCGGG